CCCAGGAAGGCCCAGTCTGGGAGGCCAGAGGGGATAAAGTGCCAGCACTGACCTCTCACCTGAGCTGCCTTGAGAGGCAGATAACTAGAACTGAGCCAGGGTGCTGGTAAAAGCTGGGTCACTAAGAACAGCAGAAGGAGAAAACCAAGAGGTTCATTTATGCTCGTTCTGGGGAATAAGAGAAATAAAATCATGATAAAATAAAGCAATGGAATGACCTTATCACTGAAAAGCAATTTGTCAAAATCTCCAAGATGGCTAAATGATTGATGTCTGCTCAAAGCTAAAACAAAGTGGAGTCCTCTTGAATTCTGGGATCCAGCTCCAAAACTGAATACTGAAGACAGACACAGGAATAGTGAAATACAGCAGAGAGAGAATAAGAAAGCAATTTGAAGGGTTGGTAAGGCTCTACATGACTGTGCATTTTCTGTATCACTAGAGAGTAAAGGGGATAATCAAAGAGGATTTAGGCAGTCCTGGGAATGGGAATATTTTCTTCTCTATGTCAGTTGTAAACCAAAGTACATGATGGGAAGACAGCTACTCTTGCTGTAATCTTTTCAGTAATGGATACCAAGCTTTTTCTCAAACTGAAGAGTATTTGTAAGATAAATCAGAGACATCCTATAATTTTAAAAGTGTAAGAGTCATCTTGTCTAGGTGGTATACCCAAGAATTCTGAAAGCACTTACACATTCAGTGGTTAGGTGCTAGAAAAAACATGCAGCTTTCATGTGAGACCTGGAGTATCAAAATAGTGCAACTTCCCTTTTTCTCTCTAGGAAATCAGTTCACCTGCTTGGTGGTCCAGCCAGCAAAAGGTGGCATCCTCACAGCCGAGAACGCCTTGTGCTGTGGTACCAGTAAGTGTTGTGGAAAAGCCATTTACCTATAGTGTTTGTTCTCCTAATGCCCTTACACAGGAATCCAAATTGCAAATAGAGTTTCTCCAAATTAGGTCATGGAAAGCATTGCAGCACCCCTACAGACTGGAATTCATAAACTCTCCTACAGTAATGCTTGGTGGGGCTTCCCAAAAAGTGAATTTGGGATCTCTGGCCTTTATTTTTGGAAGAGAAGCCAGATCCTTTTCCCAGAAAAGTAGTTATGTTGGATATTACATATTTTTTTATTTGTCCTTACTTAACTTTAAAGGTATTCCAAACTCAAGAGCTGATTTGGTAAAAACTTCATGGTGAAATCACTGACAGAACAATATTAACTTCAAAATATGTGAAGAGCTACAGAGTGGACTCTGTACTGGATGACAAACATTCAAATTATTCCTCTTATGTCTGGGCAGACTAAACATGCTTCTGATACTTAGCTATCCATTTAGTTATTCTTCCTCTAACTTCTCTAGACAGTTTCTGAAACAATGAATTATTCATCAACTTCCAGTTCATTCATACAGCTAATCCATATCTCTGTAGTAAACTACTGTTTTCAGCAGTAAATGCTGGATCTGCTATAAAAATAGGCTAGCAGCCTCAGCATACGATCAAGTTCACAAAACTCACATGGCATTGAAAGCATGAATATAACATATAAAGCCAAGATTATAAGTGTACAGAAAGATTCTTTAGCTATTCAGAGATGACTAGTTGGTTAGACAGATAATCATACTGGTTTCAGATGTAACATTATCACCTTCAATGACATTTTTTTCCAAGATATTTAAAATCAGTCCCCAATGGGACTGTTAGTCATCAGAGCTAATCACAAACCCCAGTTTAGTCTGATTCACATACTACCAATGGCTTTTCAGACTGCAAGGAAGACAACTTAGCCACAGCATCATTTTACCAGTACCTCAATACATTTTACACAGTGAGACCACATACTAAAAATCGACACCACTTCCCAAAGTTTTGTTATAATAATCCTCTCCCATTTGGCCAAGACCTCAAAATTGCATTAACTATTTAATTAACCACTTGGGTGTTACATTCAGTTGACAAAGCAGAAATGCTGATGCTGGGTCAGTGTGGCTGCAGCCTCCAGTCGCTGCCTGTATGAGCACAGAGTACCAGTGACACGTGGCACCAGCCCTGCACACAGCTCCCAGGCACAGAGCACACCCTGCCATTCACCTGCGGGTGCCCCCAGCCAGCTGTGGCACCACGGCACAGGCCATGACAAAGGCAGTGCCCTTCCAGGAGGCACCTTGAGGCTTGGGTTGAATTATCATGCCCTGTTTGAGCCCTGAGTTTGTACCTGCCTCAGTTGTCCAGCCAGCATGTCAGTGAGCTAGACTGAGGAATGAGCTCCACATGCAGTCATAGTAAACTGTTAAAGGCTCAATTTTAATTTCTGAATCAGGGCTCCTTTTAATCATATGTGCTATATAACATGTGAGCACTTAGTCTAGGATGATGTAATTTTATAAGGGAGAAGACAAGGAGAAAGAAAGGGGAAGGAGAAGGAAACTGATTTTGGTTTCTTATATAAATCTCTTCTTGGAGGGAGAGAGATTTAAAATGCAGTGATTGCATTTAAAAAACATACAGTATCAGGCCGTTATATATATCTATTGTAATATATCTTACATATATTCTTTGGACAAGTTTATATTTTACACAGACGGAGCAAGCTCGCAAGTTTTCTGAAGTCATGAAAGACTGATTTATCCATTCCATCAGTATTTTTTCCATTATTTTGCCCAGAACTTTCCTGTTCTATCCAAAGTAAGATAAGTTCAAGACATAGTTAAAATCAAAGCTTATACCATTTGCAACTCACTTCTCACACTAATTTTCACACAGCGTTGTGTTTTCCCCTGTGTTTTTCTTTCCTCCCTCTCCCATAAGCTTACATTTCACTCCTTCCAACCCAATATAGGAATAAAAGCAGGGCAATGCTTCTATTTCTGTCTTTGCCACTGACTCACCGTATAGTTTCTTAAGCATTTACATTTTCCACTTGGATCCTCTGGTATCTAAGAAGATGAATGTGTCTGTTGATGTCTTCTTTATGGTAAGAGCACTCACAATGTCTCTCTCTGTGCAGTTTCTATTGTGTTTAGTAAGGGTTGAATCCACACTACTACCTTCCTATCAATGAGGATATTAGTAGGAGTTCTGACTTCAGCCTAGATGCCTGCTTTAATTACAACAATCAGAAATATATCTTTTGAGATTGGGCAGTCAGATTTTACTTCAACCAACATCTGCAAAATTTTGAGGTGGGGCACTCAGAGATATGCACACAAACCAGCATCATAATATCCACTCTCCTTTATAATACATGCTAAAAAGGAGCCAGAGATACTCACAGAGCATAATGTAATCCTGGGAACAGGAGATACACAGAGTTATTTTAATATGGAGAATGCTGGCTACCTTGTGCTACAGAGCCCTGCAGCATTACTGTCTGCTGAATATGCAAAAGCATTGCTCTTTCCTTTTCAGTGCTGCGTTGCCTTAGGTCCAGCTTCTGTCCCACTTACAGTCCTTCACAAATATATTCTGTCCTTTGGTGTCATTTTATTGATTGATACATAAAAGTAAATGTATCAAGTCAAATTAGCAAGTGTGTAGATAATTCTTACAAACTAAAATTTAGTCCTTACTATTGGAGACCTACTGTGGTTTGCAGATGTTGGCAAAAATCCACGTACATGGAACTACAGATGGTTCCAAATAAGGTAAAAGTGGAGTTGTCTCTTAATATGCCAGCCTGTGTTACTTTTACAGCTCCTACTGCTTTAAAAAATATATATTTAATTACAGAAAATTCTGCAGCAGTTGTTTGAATTATGAGTTACAAATAAACACATTAACAAGAAATGTATTCAAATTTTCAGTATCATAGCAGGAATAACACAGTGGCTGCTTAATGAAGGCTGTGATGTCTGAGACAAAGAAAATAGGGTCTTAAAAAAGCAGGACCAAGTGTTATGAAATGGTACAATCCAACTAGTTAAGCTTAAATACGCTGATTTTTTTTTTTTACAGGGTAAGCTGCCAGCTCTGCTGTTCAAGGTTTATTTTTAGAATTTCCCCTCTCTCTACTAATTACCAGAAATATCATAAGAATGGAAGTCAGATACTTACTGTTTGAAAATTATTTGTATTGGAACTAGTGACTGGAGTGGTTTTAATTAAGAGGCAAAGAAATAAAAAAATACCTAATGTAAAAATAAATACTTGTTTCCCATGTCAATTAATTGCATTAATTGATATTTTCTATTTATGTCCTAATCTCTTCTTTCCCATGACAGGATTACCATACAAATTCTTTGAAAACGAAGAATTATGCCCTATTTGCATTAGGATATTTTATTGAATGTAGGCTGTAAATATGTGCTATAATTATATTCATTTATATGTAATTATATACATTTATATGACAACATGCACATTATTATAATAACATATAGAAGACTGTTGGAATACATCAGAAGGCACCTTTGGCTGAAAAATAAAGAGGCAGGGTTCGGGCGTTGTGAAGAACTTATTGCCAAAATGCAGCAGATCCAAACTAGAGATCTTAGGTTTCTGTGCTTTTGGTTTCAGAACATAAAATTTCAAACCAAAGAATAAACTGCACAATACTATTTTGGTGAAAACAGATTCTGTCAGCCAGACTTGAGCGCATTTCCCGTGGGTGTAAACCGACACGAAGTGACATCCTGCTCGCTAAGCTGAGATGTGATCGCGGTCTCCAAAAGGGAGACCCTTGGAGAGCGCCAGGTCCTGCCTCGCCCCTGACACCTGGCACCGGGAAAGGGCGCTGCCGTGCGGAGAGCTCCGCCGCGCCGCGGGGAACAGCGCTCGATCCCTTCGCGGGCGGCCCCGCTCGGTCCGGCTGCCCCGGCCCCGCCGCCCGGAGCCCCCTCCCTCCGGCCACCGGAGGCGAGGCCCCGGCAGCAGCGGGTGAGTAGCCGGGACAGCCCGGCCGCCGCGGGCACACCGAGGGCGGCGGGCGGCGATGCCCCCGCGGGCCGGCCGTGCGGGGCACGGGGCAGCGGGGCCGGCGCCGCGGCCGCGCCCCCGATGGGGAGCGCGGCGCTGGGGGGCGGCCCGTGGGTGCTGCGGGCACTCACCGGGTGCCTGCTGGGCGCCCTGGTGCTGAGCACGCTGCTGGGCAACGCGCTCGTGTGCCTCGCCGTCCTGCGCTTCCGCCACCTCCGCAACAAGGTCACCAACTGGTTCGTGCTGTCACTGGCTATCTCGGACCTCTGCGTGGCCCTTTTGGTGATGCCCTGGAAGGCGGTCACTGAGGTGGCCGGAGGCTCCTGGCTCTTTGGCAGCCACTTTTGTGACACCTGGGTGGCCTTTGACATCATGTGCTCCACCGCCTCCATCCTCCACCTCTGCATCATCAGCCTGGACCGGTACTGGGCCATCGCCAGCCCCTTTCGCTATGAGCGCAAGATGACACAGCGCCTTGCTTGTGCCATGATAGCCATGGCCTGGGCTCTCTCCATCCTCATCTCCTTCATCCCTGTGCAGCTACAGTGGCATAAAGCCAAGGACAGTAGAGATCCAGGCTCCTGGCTACCTGGGACACCGCGCTGTGATGTCAGGTTGAACCGCACTTATGCCATCACCTCCTCCCTTATCAGCTTCTACATCCCCGTGGCCATAATGATCATCACCTATACCAGGATCTACAGAATTGCCCAGGCCCAGATCCGCCGCATCTCCACCCTTGAGAGAGCAGGGGGGCAGTGGCCAGCTCCTGGCAAGGATCCCACCTCCTCTTTGCGGAGTTCTTTGCACAAGGAGACCAGGGTGCTGCAGACCCTTTCTATCATTGTGGGAGTCTTTGTTTGCTGCTGGCTGCCCTTCTTCCTGCTGAACTGCCTGCTGCCTTTCTGCCAGCCCAGCCTCGATGAGGACCCTGAAGGACAGTCACTCTGTATCGGCCAAACCACCTTCAACGTCTTTGTGTGGTTTGGCTGGGCCAACTCTTCAGTGAATCCAGTGATCTATGCTTTCAACGCAGACTTCAGGAGAGCTTTCAGCAATCTCTTGGGCTGCCAGTGCTGCTGCTGTGGCACACCCGAATCCGCTGTGGAGAGGGTCAACTTCAGCAATGAGCTGGTTTCCTATCACCTTGACACCACCTGCCAGAAAGGAGCTGTCCCATTGTCAGTGCCTCCTGCTGCCACCACTGCCTGGGTGCAGCCCGTGCCCCATGCCATAAACCTCCAGGAAGAGGACAGCAGTGAGGAGCTGTCCATGGAGAAGAGGGTTGTGACTTCTCAGACACAGACTGCCTTTGGCAGCAGCCCCAGCAGTTGTCAAGTGCCAGCTATTTTGAAATTGGATTGCAAGGCGAAGCCATCCCTGTAAACTGCTGCCCCCTGTACAGGACTTGGTCAGTGTGAGAGACCCCATTGCCCTGTCTCAGAGGGATGAGTGATTAAACACATCTCACACACCAGCCACCACACAAGGAGAGTTCTCCCTGTCTCCATTAAGTTCCCCAGCAACAAATGTCCCATGCCAGAGAGATGGGAAAACACTGCTCTTGCCTCACAGGGGTGATAGGCATATGGACTCCATTCCAAAGGCACATAGCAGCTACACATGGCCTCTTCCCATGGCCACCTTCACCCCTTACTCTCACAGTCATTAGATATCTCCAGTGCATTTGTTCACCCCCATTCTACAGTCAAATTGGAGGTATATTTTAAGAATAGTGAGATAATTAGATCAAAGTAAAAACACCTCATAGTTCAGGCAGCCAATCCCTCCAGAAAGTAGAAATATAATATGATCCACAAAATAAAGAGTGACCAGGTCATCTCTGTCAACCTGTTTCACTACTTGCAAATATGAAGATCAACAAAAGGCAGAGCAACAGGTGTTGGATGGCTTGCAGGAGAGAGAATACTGGAAAAGTTTATGATTATTTCTATCTGTCTAGAAGGGTTCAGCAGACATTAAGGCAATACAGTGGTATCTCATTGACCTCTTCTGTTTCTCTGTCCACTACTTAAAGGTTCCGCTGCTGAACATTTACTACTGTGCTCCACTCACCACGATCCTTGCCCCATTTTTTCTGTCCCCCACCTGTGATGGATTGCCTTTGATTTATCTCAGGAAGATGATGAAGATGCAACTGTCCAGAAGGAGACATAAAGAATGCTTACACTGCAAGAGCTTTCTTGGGCATTGTTTTTTCTCATAGATGGTTCAGATTATATTCTTCAGAACAGTGATCTGTGCTGAAAGGACAGCAGCAGAAGAGAAACTCTCCTCCCAGTGATCCTGCTCCCTGTGATTTTAAACCGTGTGTAGTTCTTAAATCACTGTAAGCATTTCCCCTATCATTAGTTCTTATGGGAAAATATGCTCTTGCTATCCTGCTCTTTTCAGGGATGTTTCCTTGGGGAATACTTGGGTGTGACTGCCATCTGTTCTTCTTGGGCTACACTGGCAGGACAAGAGGTAATGGCTGTAAGGAAGACCAAGGCAAGAATTTGTAAAAACTTTCTAAGAATAAGGATAATTGATCACTGGAGTAGGTTGCCTAGGTAAATTATGACATCTCTCTCAGTAAAATTACTTTAAGCTTGTGTCAGATATGACAGTGACAATGTTGATCCTGTGTTGGGGCAGAAGCACAGAGTAAAGGTCTCTTGAGATAATCTCTAGTCCTGCTTCACTTTGACAATGTCTCCTTAAGACGCATTGAGCTTAAGATGTTTGGCTGTGTGGTTTTTTGCATGCAACTATCCTTAGATATTTTGAGGCAAAAAAGATACAGATAAGAACTTTGAGATACCATTGGTATACTTCTTTTCTTTTAGTGATTAGCCATATTTCTGAACATTTAACAACTATCATTCAATATGTCTAGTGCCTCCTCTGGAGAGCAATCCTAAAATAAACCTGAAATAATTGTGTTGCCTTAAAAAAGATACAAGGTGGTTTTTTTTTTTGGTTTGATTCCTATTTATTAGTTTCTAGGTGATCATATATGAACTGTACATGGATTCTGTACACAGATATTAGAGATTCAATTTGTATTTTCCTCAATACATTTCTTTCTTCTTACACAAACCAGAAACACATAAGAATGTCAGAGTCTAACTCCTTAAAAACAAACAAACAAATTCCACACTAAAAACCCAAACAAACAAATTTATATGTTCAAGCTCTAGGAGGCATCTCATTCCACACTCTCCAGACTAAAACCCATCCCGGGGAGATACTGATAAACCTGACAAGATACCACCCTGAAGTGTGACTTCCCAACTGCCTGCTGCCCTTCTGTTTCTGTTGCACAAGCTCAGCTGGCTCCAGCCCTCAGAGTGAACTGTCCCAGCCCTCACACCCTCCAGCTCATGGGCAGGCACTCCTCTGGCAGTCGAGGCCACACATGAAATTCTTATGTACAGGAGAGAATTTTTTTTTTTAAGTATGTGTACAGTCTCATTATTAGTGATAAAAGACGTTAATTAATGGAAGAGAAAGATTTACCTTCTCCCAAGATTTGCCCTGCTATAGGAGCTGTCTTGCCCAGGAATTAGGCTGGATTAACTATTTAGAATGATGATGAAAATGGTGAAGGGCAGAGTGGGTAGCAGAAATTAGACAATGGATATATTTGAACAAGGTTTTCTCCTAAGAACAATCAAAAATGCATGGTAGCTTCAATTTATGAAACAATATTTGTGTTAAGAATGGAAAAAGCTATTTGTGTCAGTGCTTGTGGTCATAGTTTAAATATGCTTTATTAATAGGTCAGATTATACCTGAAAATAAATGTACGTTTTCCTGAAGAAAAGCTCCTGTGCTTTACTGCAGCTTTTTAAAGTGACAACTTGAAATTGTTTTTTGTAAGTGATGTTGGAAATAATTGTTTGTAGCTAATTGCTAATGGCTATTACTGATGTGCAGATGATACACATTACAGTAGTTTACAGTTGTAGGGTCTGCTGCAGTAAGTGCATTGTAATTATCAAGACTGCAATAAATTTCAGAAATTGCATATTATAAACTATTTATTCTCATTTTTAGTAGCATATGACTGAAGGTACTTCATATGAAACTGCACAACATAGCTGTTCAGACTACATCTGCTGTTGCTGATTTAATAATATATAAATATTGACACTCTGTGTAGTTTTATTTTCCTAGACTGGGAATCATTCTACAGACCACCCACTTCTGTGAATAGTAAATGGGCAAGACTTATTTTCCTTAATAATATTTTTTACAATGATTAACTGTGATTTTTGACTGATATTTTTCTCATGACAGGGCAAGCTGTGTTAGATTACACAAGATTCAATTAATATTGTTAGGTTCAAGTGGGATAAGAGATGTTAAAATTATTACAATAAGCCAAGGTTTACTTCAGCAGAAATTAAGAGGCAAAATTATTTCCTATTTACACTATTGCAGCTACTCAAAAGAAGTATATTTCAAAGCAAAAACTTGGCAGGGCTTTGTTATCTATTTCTGGGTGAAAACTTTCTTGGTTTGGCAGGGCAAAATAAAGGTATTTTTTTAGTAAATAAAAGTTAAGGGTTTTTTTTTAGGGAGATCTATGCCTATTCCTCAGATGTACTTTTTATAACTCAGATCACCAAATCCACATATCTATTTATGGATTCACCACAGCATATGTGAGGTATTTCACTTACTAAGAGCAGTTCATTTCCATGCCTAATAGTACCACATTTACAATACCATTAACATCACAGTGACCTAAAAATAGCTTCTAAATAGCCCTGGTGTCAAATCAGTGCAACCTCACAAATACCTCATCAAAACACTCTTATTAGCCAGTGCCTAAATGTCTGAATCAAAACACAGTTCAGTGCAGCAAAGTACAAGTTGTGGGGTTTACAATGCATTCCAAATGCCTCTCCTGTTCAAATAATTCCCACTGTCTTTCCTTCTGTCAGTCTACAAAGTTCTCAACCACCTGCAGGTCTCGTTTCTTTATTAGGTAATTGAGATAAATACAAAATTTTTGTGGTGATACAAAAGCTCAGGTAGTGGAGTTTAAGGTTATGCGCAACTTTAGCAAATGAAGAACCCAGCAAAAATATCAATGTATGGAAAACAAGATCACACCTCCATTTTTATTTCTTATCTCTCTGATTATTATCAGATGCTTTAACATATCAGTGAAACTTTCTGTGAGGAACAGCTGACCTAGGTTGCAGAAAAGAAACCTGTTACACAACGCAGTTGTCAGAAGCATCTGTTGCTGCTTTGCTTTTGCCAAAATCATGCTTCTTGTGCTGGATTTCAGATGAGGCACCTACGCACACCATATTGAGTGTATTTCAACCACTTGAATAGCACTAAAAATTATTTTGTGAATAAGTCTTTATTCTTCATAAACTGTTTTTTCCCCTTAACTTGGGAGGCTTAAGTGACTTTCTGGATAAACCAGATGCCTAAGTCAATAAGAAAAACATCAGAGATAACATCATGACAAATGTTCTTTGTGCACATTTGGTAAAAGGAGAGAAATACATAAAAGAGCTGAGTTTCAAGAGATTAAACTGGAAATTAGACATTGCCTCTTATATTTTGGATTATAGCAGAATATTAGTACCGCCCAACCACGTTGTGACAATATGATAGATAATGGTGATAAATAGCCCTGATTTCCTTTCTAAGAATGTTTATCCTGTAGTACCAGTACATCCAAGCCATGAATTGCAATTTCACCAGACTGATCCTTCCTTGGTGTGCTACCAACCTACAGTTTTTAAGCTCTTCAAGGGTTTGGAAGTCCCGAACACCTGTTGCCATCACAGGTAACACACAGAGCAGCCATCACTGGCAGCAACAGGCCTTTGGGGACTCAGCAGTTCACTGCAGGCTTCTTTCAAAAAGGGGTTAGATTTTCACAATACAACAGCTGTACCGCTGACAGCTATGCTACTGAAGAAGTATAAAGTAGTCTGAAAGATCTTTGTAGTGGAAGCCATTTCCTTGAAGTGTGTTAAAAAGTTACTATGAAGATCCTTAGAGGCATCACCTTAGCACAGATAGGGTGAGTCCAGGGACAGGGGAATAGAGATACAACAGAATGCCTTTTGTGCTGAGCTGATATCTGACAATTAAAATTGATTTTATTTGCAGCACAGGTCACTGCACTCACTATTAGCATCACTTTTCGTTTCAGATAATGCACAACAATTGCTTATCTCAATATGCACTATATTTTTTTTAATAGAAACTGCACTTTATTTTGCTTCTGAATAACCCCCTTTGTGAATTTAAGCCTAACTTTCAGTGACAGGCAAGCTAGACAGGCACAAAATTTGAATTGTAAATCCTTTGTTGAGCTTCAACTGTTGTTCAATAGGCCTTACTTTATAAAGCTGAAATGTGTAATTTTGGGGTGGCACAAGCTGAGCTCTAACAATGCCTCAAGTCATACACTTCGAAATATATATTCTAAGTGTTGCTACAACATTCCTACTCCCCTGGAGTCGAATCATGAGTCACTCCTGGGAAACACACTGACATAAGATGAAGGCAACCTATATCCACTAAAAAAAAAACAAAAACCCAAACCCCTTGGATGTAGAATAGTAGTACAGGGCAAAATTTTCACATAACTTAATGCCATTGATTATTGACACTAATGTTTCTGCATTATTTAGAAAAATCATAATTTCCTTTCAAGAAATGTTCATTGCTGTCTCTGAGCCTCAGCTGTAAGAGTGTTTTCAAACAAACAGGCAGTTTTCAGCCTTATATGCTGACTTACATGATAGGATTTTAGAGGCAGAAGACCCATCACTCTTGGCAAGGGTATCACCTGTGCTAAGAAAGGTGAGAAGTCCTGCATGGCATATTGCTCCAGGAGCAAAGGCTCTGTAACATCAGTCTAGAGATACAGGTTACCATGGAAAATACAGGAACTTTAGCACCCCCAAGGAGTTAACTGGGGAGAACTGGATGCGTTGGGCAGAAGGAGTCATTGTGATTTTGGCAGCCCTTGGGCTGAGCATCTAACATCATGCATGCAATTTTGTACCACAGAATGGATTTTCCCTAAATTTCAGCCTGCAATCCCACTGCTCTATTGTGCCTGCTACCTGCATCTTCCAAGCACTACAAGCAGCTCCTTCCCTGCAGGACACCCTGTGGTATTTACTATGATTCTGTTACTGCCTGATCCAGTCATTCTAAAGGTCTCATCACTATGCTCTTTTATTCAGCTAGGGTATAGAAAAATTCTTTTCCATTTCTAATTGAGCCTTTTAGGCCCAGAGAGACCAGGATGCAGAGAGGAGAAAGCAACTTTAACTGCCTATATAGAAGAAAAGACACAAACATGACCGTGTTGGATGTAGAAACTCAGTCACCTGTGTAGGGCACTATTATTTTGCAAAGAGCACCACTTGAACTAAAAGTTGGGTTGAATTTCAGTGGTACTTGATTGCCAGGGAATGAAAGAAACAACACACAAATATGTCAAAAACCTGGACAAAGGCATCAGTCTGACTATAGAGATGTGCTTAAATAGGATCTAAAGGTAATTGAGAAGGTCAGTCTTTCTCCCTGTAGACATATTAAAAATGATGTTATTCTCTTGAGCCAGTACAAAGAAATAAGATTGATAGCTCAAACAAGAAGGTTAAACACAGATATGGTCTTGTGTATTTAAAGCATTTCAGTTTATGAATCATAAACATTGTTTACACTACCCACTTCTCTGAAAAGGATTTTATAATGGCAAGGCTGGAAACTGTGACTTCTTTCCACTCATAAAACAAAACTATTTTGCAATCATTTGCAGTTGTTGCTGCAATCCTAGAGTCTAGAATAAGAGAGATGGATATTATTTTTCATAGTGACTATGTTTTTATAAAATACAAATTATTAATTCAACTGAATTTTTAAAGATCAAAACCCTGAAGTCAAAGCTGTAAGTTTCCTGTGCATTGTCTTCAAAGTCTGCAAAGTGGCCTCTAAACAGAATATAGATTCTTCAGTTCAGAGTTAAAACAAAACATGATAATTCATTCCTTCACCAATGAAAAATGTGATTAAGGCTATGGTCTGAACTTCTGAAATAAAAAGATACTTAAGGAGATACCTTTAATTAGTGATTCAATTTTTACCATTTGCCTTCTCAGTTCCTTTCTTTGTTATGTTAACAAGCCCCTTGTTTAAATCACCTCATCATAAATCAATCAAGTTTTCTAGGTCTGTGATACTCTCATTGCTCTTTTCCAGACTCAGTTCAGTTGTCTTTGTCTTTTTTTGAAGAGTAATGCTTAAACTGGATACAATGCACCATTCAAAGCCTGGCTTTAGCCCATGCCTTACTTCCTGTGTCTTATGGCTGATATCTTCATGTGCTTGCCTTTTTTGCTATAGTATGACACTGTTGTCTCACATTCAGCTTGTGGTTCCTGCAGCCTTTCATGCTTTCCTGCAGACATTAGTCCATCAGTATCCATCATCTTGGCTTTGTGTAGGTGTTTCAGACCAGTATCTTGCACTGTCTCCACTGAACCGAGTCTCATGCTTAAGGCTGGTCCTGTGAGTGTTCACATTAGCTTTGAATTTGGTTTAGAATCTTGGCTGAAGTCCAGGTTACATCCAACATGGTATATCTCCAAGTCCTCATTGCAGAGCTCACATGGTAAAGCACACTCTATTTCATTTGCTCAGATGGACAGGCCCATTAACTCCTCAGGGATTTGTTTCAGGCTCTCTGCAGAGGCAAGGGAAGTATCTCTGCCACAGTGCACACTAATCATGTTTTCAATGATAACCATAACCAGCTACTTCTAGGGCTATAAAGGTTATTCTAACATAGTGGGACAGTAGGGAAAGTGTGGTCAAAACCCAGCTACAACAGTAACACAGACTAACTAGATTTAAACTGATCAGGATAGAGTGATTTTAGAAATGTAAGGAAGATCTTCCCCCCACTGTATCCCCATCAAATCCAAGAGAGAAAACTGCAGCTTCTGCAGGAAAATTAATATAAAAGCAATGAGCATCAAAGACCAACACCTACTTTACTGCAAAAGAGAAGTCACAATCATGGAGTGAGGTGTGCGAGTGTAAATATGGGAGCAGCAGAATATGGCAAAAAATATTAAGGAAGATTAGTTATCTTTGCAGTAAGCTAGAGAAATCTCATTCTGGTTTATTTTCTTTCCTTAGCTCCTGAAGTTTAATGACTTGTATGAGATGTAAAGTAAATTGTCCCAAAAATATTACAGCAATGTGCTCATTAAAACACACAGGAAAATGTTAATTTTCCTTCAAAGCTGATACACTTAGGATAATCTACTATAAAAATTGTATCAAACATACTAGACAACTCCATTTCACACTGCATAAACAGCAGCAAGAATGTGAAAAATAGAGATCTCAGTGTAATAATATATAACCATTACAGGTGGTCAGAACTTAATTTGAAAACAACTCCAATGTTTGGTGAACTAATAAGCCAAGGCACATGATGTACCTTGTACTCACTGGAGCCATAGACGATTTTAAAAGTCACAATGCAGTCCTGTATGATGCCTCATGGTACCCACAGCCCTCAGTCAGAGGCCAAGATTTCTCCTACAGCCCATGGGGAGTCCTCAGCACCCATGAAAGTGAAATATGGAATGTGGCATGCTGGAAAAGGAGCCACACAGCTAACAGTCAGATCAACCTTGTCCTTCAGATGTAAATATGTAACACCAGACAGCTTCTTCCTTTAGATTCTAGGTTGTAAACTGTCTCCTATGATTTTTTTTTTTTGCCCAAGATATTTTATTTCCTTCTCATGGTCCTCTCTCCTCTGCTGTTTCTCTCCCACTCCAAACAACTAACCAGGGAGAGCTCTAACTATGCAATGCAGTTAGGAAGTGGGAGAGCTAAATGAAAATGGTCCCCCACCCCTGAATTAGAGAATCCCACCTCCTCTCCAGCAGTCATTCTCTCAGTCTCTCAGACTCTGCAGAAGTCTTTAATTTTTAGGACTTACAGCACAGAAAGGTCAGTGAGTCAATATCAACTGCTCTTGCTATATCATAGTATGAGTCATATCATATAATGGTTTGGGTTGTGAGGGAATTTTCAAGGTCTCCTAGTTCAGCCCCTTCAACAAGCTGGGACATCTTCAACCAGATCAGATTGCTCAGAGCCCTGTCCAGCCTGGCCTCAAATCTTTCCAGGGACAGGGCATCTACAGCCTGCCAGGGAAACCTGTTCCAGTGTCTCATTACACTCATTGTAAAAAGTTGCTTCTTTATATCTATCTAAATCTGCTGTCTTTTAGTTTAAACAAATTATCCCTCGTCCTATCACAACAGGCCCTGCTACAACTTGTTCCCTATCTTTCTCCTTTTTGTCACAGGAGAAGTCTTCCAGCTCTCTGACTATTTCAATGGCCCATCCTCTAGACCCACTCCAACAGGTGCATTTCTGTCCTGTGCTAGGACCCCAGAGCGGGATGCAGTGCTGCAGCTGGGGTCTCGCAGAGCAGAGGGGCAGAATCCCCTCCCTCATGCTGCTTTGGATGCAGCCCAGGACACATTTGGCTTTCTGGGCTGTCAGTGCACATTGCTGGGTCATATCCAGCCCCTCATCCATCAGCACTCCCAAGTCTTTCTGGGCAGGGCTGTTCTTAATCTGTTCATCCAATACTGTGAGGGCAGCAGGGAGCTGCTGGTAATTTGGGGGCCTGTCATTGTTGAGTGACAGGGTCGGAACAATAAGGAGTTTGGAACAGATGTACAAAGTACATGAAACAGAAGTACATGTGGGTCTTGAGATCCTAATTCTGAAAGAGACTTCTGAAACTGGTGTCTGATATCCCATCCCTAAACGTGCAGTAACATAAAGGTTATGTCTACGCCCTCTTGAAACTTCTGGCATTTTTTAAACACATCGTATGGCAAAGACTCTTACCACATTTTTTTTAAAAATCATCCTAAATAATCCACACTGGTATTCTCCTTCCGAAACGAGGATCCCTTTTAACTCCATGAATTGTAAAGGAAAATAAATAAATAGACTCCCATGCAGCAGGCGCACGCCCATTGTCCCCACGGCCCCGGCGGATGCCCGCACAGGCGAGCTGCCGCAGCCCAGCTCGGCTCCCGGACTCCCTCGCCGCCTCGGAAGGGGCCGCGCTTGCGGTTTGGCTTTGTGGTACCGGCGTGCGGCTCCCTCGAACAAGGCGCGAGTGTGCCCGGCGATTTCCCGGAGCCGGCGCCGTCGGGGCGCAGCGCTCCCGGCGTGTCCCCGCGGGCGGCGGCCGGGGAGGGGCGTGGCGGGGGCAGCCCCCGAGCATTGATAGCTCCCGTGCCGGCCCGCCGCGGCTGCCGGGCAGTCTGCAGGTCCCCGCACCGCCACGCAGCGCGCCGTGAGTGCCCCGGGACCGGGCGGAAAGCACCGAGGTGCGTGGGGAAAACCGGGTGCGGGGGAAAGGACGGGGCTGCCCCTAGCCGGGTCTGATGCCCTTCGCGGCTGTGATGCCGCAGCCGGCGAGTGTGGGCTCCGACTGATGCTGTTCAGTTAGGGCTTCCTGGCCGGGGTGGTCCTGGGACGGAGCTGAAGGATGGACGGACACGAACTAAAAGCCCCGGGGGTTACGAGTCTGGAGGGATAAGCCCTCTCCGCGGGCGGCTCGGTCTGGTGCGACCCCGGGGGCTGCGCTCCCGCCGGGGCACCGCCCGCCACGGTCCGTGTGTCCGCAGGGCGCGGAAGATGCGGCGGGAAGGCGGGCCCCGCGCCGGGACATCCCGTCGCTGAGGCACGCCGAGGATGAGGCTGCCGCTGGCGCTGCTGGTCCTGCCAGCCCTGGCCGCCCTGGGGGCCGCCGGCGCGGACCCGGAGGCGGCGGAGGAGGCGCGGGCGGGGCGGTTCTCCACGCCGGAGCAGCACCGGTGCCGCTGGGAGCTGCGCTCGGCCGCGGGGGCCAGCGAGCTGCGGCTGAGCTGCCGGGCGGAGGGCGGCGGGGCGGCGCGGAGCTGCGCCTACCGCGGGGAGCCGCGGCGCTGCCCGGCCTTCCGCGGCCGCCAGTACTGGCGGCAGATCCTGTCCCGGCTGCGGCGGCGGCAGCACCCCTGCGCCCCGGGAGCGCCGCTCCGCGCCCGCCTCTGCGGCCCGGGCCGTGCGCCGCCCGAGGCGCAGCTGCGCCTGCTGCCCGACCCCGGCCCCGCCTCGCCGGCCCCCGGCCCGGAGCCCACCGAGGACCCGGCGCAGACCTACTGCGCCGAGCGGTGGCACTCGCTGTGCAGCTTCTTCGTCGGCTTCTGGGAGGGCTGAGCCGCTCCGGCCAGCGGGAGGGAGCGCGGCCGCCCGGGCTGCGCACCCGAACACTCCCGGCCTCGCCTGCCACTGCCGCCAATGGCCCCCGACTTTGTCCACTCTCCTTTTTTACTCCCCAATAAAACGGTAACTATTTTGTGACAAGAAGCTGGCGTAATTCTTTGTCTCGTCAAAGCCCTGTAACTCCTGCAGCGCCGTTACAAGTGTGAAACGGACCCGTGTGAGTTAAAGTTACACTGGAATCACCCAAGTAGAAAACCATACATTTATGCCAGAATAAGAAATGACTGTGACCTCACTGAACAGTAAGTCCTAGAAAAACCTTTCTTGCTGACAGAGATTTCACAAGCTACATGAACCAGTCCTGTCCCGTTTCCCACAGAACAGTTGGGCAACTATCTCCAAAGAACCTGAGCAGGGCTGGGTGAGAAACCAGATGTCAAAAGAAAAGTTGAGAAACTCAGAAGCATCTAGGTACAGGTACTGGATTTAGGAGATGAATGATATTTCACCCAGCTAATGGCATAGTGTTTAAATAGGGAAGTTGTTTTACCTGGGGAAAGAGGCGTTCGAGAGATACTCTATCCACACAAAATGGGGTACATTTTGGTAAGGAAAGCTAGTTTCTCTCCGCTGTCTGGGGTCCTACACAGCCCTAGACATCTGCCTATGACCAGGAACTGTTGCAGACTCTTTCTGTACAGTTTTAAGGATGGCTGTGAGAAGGGCACTATGATGTAATCAGGATCTTCCCAGTGGCTCTCACGAGGATCTGAACTATCGCACGCAACTTTTAATGCCAAGACAATTTCCTTTACAGCAAACAGCTGGATAATGCTCTATGCAAGCACTATGCAAAAGCTTCATCACCACTGAATATGATCTGGATGACTATTTTTTTTAATGACTCCTCACTTTTCCTTTATGTGCTTGTCACCCAAGCAGCCACAGAATGGGCTGCTGGCCAGAGCATTGCACAGTACCTTGTGATAATGCTCAGCTTTGTTTTATTTCCATGGTCTAGGCACAGCAGCTTTGTGCAGTGCTGCTAGAGCTTGTATTTCTCACCATCAGATGCAAAGGTGGAGCACCATGGCAACCAAGCTGATTACCCACATCACTCTGCATTTGAAAACCCAACTAGGAACTCTGAACAAATTCATTGTTTACCCATGAGGGAGAAGAAAGGAGAGAATCCCTTTCTCTATGTTTAACCACAATATTTCCCCAAGGCTCCAAAATAGCTCAGTCTTCCTTTTAAGCACCAGTAACTAACAAAATACAACAACCCAAGACTACATTAATTGCATTTACTGTGGTTAATAACACCAAAGCTTAGTGCTGAATAATAAACAAATGCTCAGTTTTTCTACTGACAAACTTATCCGCAGATCCCCAAGACTGGGAAACCATAGTGAGATCCTCAGATTTGTTTTTAAGGGGGTGGTTTTTTGCTTCCTATCTTAACATTTTCATCCTCTCCCATGATTGGATAACAGCTAGCATCACCATCTAAGGTAAGCAACTGGAAACGCTTTGCAGCCAAGATCTTCACTTCCAAAAGAAACGATGCCTTTTAGTCCTGTGGCAGCTCCATGAGATGTACTCATCACACTTCCCAGCCCTGGATTTAGTTCAGCTCCCCAGATCTGTCCATGCACCCACTCTGCAGCCACCCTTTACCTCTGCTCTCCCATTGCAGCTGTGGCAGTCCTTCACCACTGGTCTAGGTCCTGGCTTGGCTGGCTCCTGTCACCGTGTGAGGATCTTGGCTGGCTCCTTCTTCAGCACCCCCTGGCTGCCCTCAGCAAGAAGAGCCTGTGTGGCCAACCTGGCAGGCCCAAACCCTGACTTTATTCTGTTGGCCTGATAAACTCTCCCCTCCCAGAGGAAGGTGGTACTGGGAATAATTAACTTTTCCCACGTGCAGCTGCTGCTTGGGCTGTCATCACAAGGGTGCTATCAGCTGACATATCAGGACACTAGGTGTGTTTTCCAAGGAAAAGCATAAGCTACCTTAAAAGAAAACCCTGAAATGATTGACATTTTAGCTTCTGGAAATTAATTCTGGGAGCTCTAACTCAGGAAGTTTCAGGGGCAAAAATATAAATAAACCATCCTTGTGCCATATTGCGCACAGCATTATTTTCTTTCCTCTGGCTGCTGAGCTCAACTCTGTATCTGGAGGTTCCAACAGAACCTGCATCTGAGTTTAGTTGCTCTCTTTATATGTAGAAAGCCCTTTATCCTATTAAATAGCACTAATCTCTCTTTCATCACCTTCTGATTTTGAAGGAACAATTTGAAGATGTTACTGTAATTTGCAAGGTTAAAGAAGGCAGTAAGCTGCTTGCTGTGTGTAGCAATTCTTTCCTGTAAAGTGACATCAAAAATTAATAAATGGAATGTTATTGCTCTTTCATCACTGCCTGAGAAGAGCTTGTCTCAGAAGAGATCTGGAGTTGCAGATCCCAGACTTTGAGCAGTTCAGTCTTTTGTCCCAATCCACAACAGGAATTACTCTTTCCTGGGTTCTGCACTAGGCACTTCCTTCTGGAAGATGCTGATTTTCCCTCTCAGTCTTCATTCCTCTGAATTCAGAGGTTCAACAAGTGAAATCTGCTCAGGCAGTCATAGCTCAGCTCTCAGCTCTGCCAGGTGTACTTGCCTGTATTTGCATATTAATGTTTCCACATGTAATTTTGACACTGATGTTTCCTACTTGAGTTTACGACCAGCCTGTGCTACAGGAGTCAGCAAAGGGATGCACTGTTTTTGGAGGTTTGTGGTGCAATTTAAAAGCCATCAGACTATTAGCAAATAAGGTGGAGACAAAGAAAGAATAAAAAGAAATTAAAAATTAAAAATCAACTATTCAAGCTGGAGCTCACTGGATAATGGAACCTGAAATCTTTGGGAATCTCTCTTTAATTGTTCCTAACATATTTGAGGCCTCCCTTGTGCTGTGAACCCTATCTAAGACTTACTGTAAAGCCAAGCAGCACATGAGGTGAGTGAATGTCAGGCTTTGTCAATTTGCCAAACAACAAATCCCCTTCTCTGTAATAATCTGTATTTTTTTAAGAATTCCAAGCTCAGTTCATGAACACAGCTACATGAAAGAGGCTTTTAACCATACAATATTACAGAGTTTAGATTAATTCTCTCAGCCCTCACACTCCTTCCTTATGTGCAAGCCCCGGCCACTGAGACAAACACGGAGCCTTGGCCTCGGGGTCTCAGCACCCCAGGGAAACACGCAGCTGCGTCACTGTCAGAAGATAAATAAATTAAAAACAAACAAATAGATAACTACAGTATCCCTTCATAGGTCTGTTTCAGAGCTGTGTCCTTGCAGCCTGGCCTGGCACAGGCACTCACTTTACGAGGGCTCTGCTGCCTGCCGGGGCACTGCGCCGTGCCACAGCGGCGCCTCGGCAGCTCGCTCACACGTTCTGCACCCACACCAGGGCTGGTGGGCCAGCTGGAGAAGCTTTCGTGTTCATCTGTTAGAGGAAACCTAGGAATAACTGCTCCATGTAAAATAAGACTTAGGACTAAGTTGTAGTTAATTTTAGGCTCTAACACGACATTATTTTCTGGCAAAAAAAAGAGAAAATGTTTGATGGAAGCATCGTGGTAAAACACAGAACTAATTTCTTATTATACATTCAGAAAGTACTAAAATATTCATTTAATAAAGGAAATCCATAGGATAAAATATGGTCCAATTATAGATATCCAAATCCTAAAATACAAAAATGCGTGTAATATCTACTTAAGTACACATTCTTAATTTAATAAAAATTTTCTTAAAGCATTTAATTATCCAGAATATTTACACAGCCTGTATTTAATCTGACTACTGAACCCAGTAGATA